TTTTTTGTTTAAATGTGACTTTTAAAATTTGGGCCAAGTCGAGCCCAAACGTGTTTTAAAAGCTCCCCCTCTTCCTTTTTTTGCGGGTTTTTTGTGTTTCTTGTTTTTTTCTCTATTTAAAATTTTGATTGCAGGGAGTTTTTATCTCCAGCTTCCAAGGGGCTTTTAACTGGGTCAAATCCCTTCATAGCCCGTCCCCCCCATTATTGAAAAGAGTCCCCCTTTTACTTTTCTTGGCAAGGGCAATTTTCCCCTTTTTCCCACTATTACAACCCCGGATTCCAAATGGCCCTTTTTTAATTTCCGGGGGGTAAAGGGAGCAAAATAAAACACAGCAAAAAAAGTTTAGAAAATTTTTTATCCTTACCCAATTTTAAAAACCTAAAGTACAAAAAATGTTGTGGTAAGAAAAAAGTGCACCCAAGGTAAGCAAGGGAGGGAAAAAAAGCCACAAGATAGCAGACCCCGGGTTTAAAAAACCCGCCTAGAATGGGAAGGGCAAGGGGAAAACGGAGAGTGGTAACCCACATAAACCCCTGTGATTGCCCAAAACCCCCATTTTATTGGGTAGAACCCGGTCCACTAGTTGAACGAGCGGGGCCCCATCATCAACTCTTAGCAACCTGGTTCGCTGGTTGGGGAGATAGCCTGTAAATGAGGGTGTGTACATGCGCCGAATAAAGTTACGTACTTTTTGCATGCCACACCCCCACCCCGGAAGGCTAGGATTAGGCTGCCACCTCCCAGTGTAACCGTGCCACCATGGCCCCAAAATAATGGGACCGCCTTTCCTCTCCACCATCCAACTCTTAGATAGAGCTCAGCTTTTCTCGGGACAAAAAGCCAAACCCTAAACTCAGATGAGACAGCAGTCAGTCAGGCTAGCATGGGTCCAAGATACAGGCTGACTGTAGCCCGCATCCCCTCACTAAAAAAAAAAAAAAACACACCAGGGGATAAAAAAAAAGAGCGTGAAAAGGGGTTACCACAAATAATATAACATCCTAACCTAAATAAATAAAAATATTAGACTCTAGATAAAGAGTCTGCCAACACATTTTCTTTGCCGGCAATATATTTAATTCTGAGTGAGTATGGTTGCAGTCTTAGCGTCCAGCGCATGGCCTTGTGTTGTTTTTCTTCATGGCTTGGAGATATACTAGAGGATTGTGATCACTGTAGACTGTGACCACCTGCGATGTCTGGCCCACATAAACATCAAAATGCTCCAAAGCCAGTACCAGCGCGAGGGCTTCTTTTCAATGGTAGAGTAAGCCCTCTGATGTGGCTGGAACTTGGCTGAAAAGTATGCTACAGGCTGCAACTCCTCATTCTCGTTTTGTAATAGTACTGCCGCCAACCCCAGACTCACAAGCAATCAACCTGTAATGAAAAAGGTTTGGAGAAGTCTGGAGACAAGAGAATGGGTGCAGTACACAATATTCTTTTTGCTTTGTCAAAAGAAGTTTGACAATCTGGGTCCAATAAAGGGAACTTTGTGACTGGTAAGAGAGGTAAGAGGGGCTACAATATCTAAGAAATTCTTACAGAATCTTCTGTAAAATCCTATCATGCCTATGAAACGTTGAAGAGATTTCCTATCATGAGGAACTGGATAATCTTTAATAGCAAGAACTTAGCAATTTAGGTGCAACTTTACCACTACCTACTTCATGGCCTAGAAAAGTGACAGTGCCTGGCCAAAGGAAGATTTAGATAAATTAACTGTTAAATGGGAACTCTTAAAGGTCTCAAGAGCCTTAAGTCTAAGTAGGTGTTGATCCCAAGTATCAGACACCACAACAATATCATCTAGGTACGCTGCCGTGCCTTCAAGTCCTTTAATAGCCTGATGGATAAGTTTCTGGAATGAAGAGGGGGAATTTTTCATTCCAAAGGGGGTAACTGTATATTGATAATGACCTCCTGGAATTACGAAGGCAGAGATTTCCTTCGCCTTATCCGTCAAAGGTACCTGATAGTAACCTTTAAGGAGATCTAACTTAGACACAAAAGTAGCCTTACCCACAAAGTCAATTACATCATCCAGACGAGGAAGAGGGTAAGCATCTGTAATTGTGACCTCATTCACCTTATGGTAGTCTGTACACATACGAAACCCTCCATCAGCCTTCTTCACTAGATGACTCCTCCACTAAACCATGCTTTAACAAAAATTCTACTTCCTGCTGAAGTAACCTTTGCTTTTCAGGATTAGCTCTGTAGGGGGAGAGTTTAATTGGTTTAGAGTTTCCCACGTCTACATCATGATAACCTAACGTACATTTTTTTCGGCACATCCGAAAAAATATTAGGATATGACTGTAGAAGCTCAGTTAAATTTGTTGCTTGCATTTCAGATAGTCCCTCCATTAAAGGGCTAGGATCCTTGAGGAGGACAGAATTTGAAAGTTTAATATAATTTCAGAGATAGAGTGCAAAGAGTCAGAGTTGCCTCAGAGGTAGAGGACAGAGTCATTACTGGACTTATCTGGTGTATGAAATTTTTTAATTGATTAATGTGGCAATATGTTAGTTTTTGAGGTCTTACCAATGGGAGCTACCACATAATTTACATCAGATAATCTACTTACAATCTGCATAGTCCCGTAAATCTAGCTTTCAAGTGTGGCCAGGTATAGGTTCCTGCACCAACACCTGTCTCCTGATGTGAAGGAGCGGAATTGTGCACTTCTGTCATACCTCTGTTTCATCTTACTTTGAGCTGTCTTTAGGTATCTTGGCTAACTGACGTGCCACCTGCAAACCTTGAAGACGGTTGTGAGAGTGTTGAGCTAACGTCTTCTCCCATCCATCCTTCTTTGAGCACCCGAAGAGGACCTCGTACATTGTACCCAAAGATCAGCTCAAACGGACTAACCCTGTAGAACTCTTGCACCGCCCTCTCGTACTGAGAACAGCAACAAAGGTAGTGATTCATCCCAGTCTGTAGGAAAGTGCATGCATAAAGTTCTCATCATGGTTTTTAAACGTCTGATGGAATCTTCCAAGGCGCCTGGGACTGAGGATGATAGGCAGTGGATAAGTTGTGGATTATCCTAACCTAGTTAATACTCCCTAAATGCTTTGGCAGTAAAGTTATTTACCTTGATCACTTTGAATAGTTTTAGAATGCCAAAACAAGAAATGAATTTGGTTAAAGCTTTGAGAATAGCTTTAGTATTAATACTACGCATGGGAATTGCTTCAGGATATCTGGTTACTTTATCCATAATCGTAAATAAATATTGATTTCCAGACTTTGACCTAGGTAGTGGACCTACACAATCTATAATTAAATCTGCAAAAGGTTCTCCATCAGCAGGTATGGGTTGGAGAGGTGCAGGTTTAATGGAATGTCCAAGTTTCCCTACTTGCTGACATTCTCGGCAACACCTAATATGATTTTTCACATCTTTCTTTAATTTTGGCCAATAAAATTCTTTTGTGATTCTATACAAGGTTTTTGTAATTCCTAAGTGACCTCCTAATGAAGTATTATGAGCTATATTTAATATTTGAGGTCTAAACTTGGTTGGAACCTCTAACCTGTCATACAATTGCCGGCCCTCTATCTCCTTACCAGTGTCAGTGCAGATCAAATAATCGTTTTTAACTTCATACTTGACCGGATGACCCAAAGAGGATTTACCCATGGCTGCCTGAAAAGCGAATTTTAAAGAAGGGTCCTTTCGTTGTTCCTCCCGGAAGGACAGTCCCTCGGACATGGAAACAGACATCTGGCAATCCTGCAACCTGGGAATAGGAAGGCTTGATCGGGGTCTGTTCATTTGATTTACGAGGCTCCGGCTGGTGTGCCTCATAAAACAACGTGGCTATTCCGAGATTGGAGTCGTCCAAGGATAGGTCTAACATTCTCTCCAGACAACCCTTGGGATGTTGCCCGAGTTATGGCCAACACCGGAGAAGAATTACTCATTACAGGTTCAGGACACGGACTAACAGTAGTAATGTTATTACCCAGTAATAACATGGCATCTTTCATGGGGAATCCTTTTGAGACACCTACAGTCAAGTACCCAGTGTAATATTTGCACTGTACATAAATTTTATGCAAAGGGACAGAATATATAGCTCCTCCAAATGCTTCCAATAAAACAGGAATTCAAGGAAGTGTTCTCTGAAAGGGGTAATATTCCCTCTCTTATAAGTGAGCAATATGCTCCAGTATCTCTTAAGGTCTTTACTTCAGTAGTTTCTGAGTTTTCCTGAAGGAAAATAAGACTCTTGCAATAATAAGGGACCATACCTTTTTCTATTTCTCTCGGGGACATGTTACTAGGGATATTAGAGATTTTCCCAATGGGTTGGGGTTTGTGGGGGCAGTTGGGACGGATGTGGCCTACTTTATTACACAGGAAGCAGACAACAGGCTTGCCCTTTACTCCCTGCTGACGTTGCAAATGGTGTCGTTCTGGCTGGTGTCTCTCTTGATACTGTTGTCGAGATGCACCATGATAGTTTGCCTCTCCGCAGGTGGAACATAAGTTGAGAAGCGTGGCTCACCAGGTGACTTAGTTGACTGACGTAGACGTTCTCCCTCCGGCTGGCACTTCATTCTCCAAGGTTGACGATCTTTGCTCATGCCAGGCTGTTGAAAAGAGAGACGGGACCGCTCGGACAAGGAGCGGTTAGTTTCGAAGGTATCAGCCAACCTGGCTGCCTCCAATGCAGTGGTTAAGTCACGATCCTGCAGAAAGACTCGAACCTCTGGTCCCACAGACTCCAGCAGGTTATCAATCAGAATAAGCTGCACCAGCTCCTCAAAGGTAGAGACACCACTTGCTTTATACCAGCTGGTAAAAGCTTTGGTTTGCTGTCTCACAAAGTCCACTAGGGATTGACCAAGCTGTAGTCTGCCCAGCTTAAAAATCTTTTTATATTTGGCTGGGATACATGTATATGCTCCCAACACTGGTCTTCACTACTTGATAATCAGAAAATTCAGCGTCATTTAATACTGACATAAATTCCTGTGCCTTACCAAACAATGCTGTATTAACCAACGATGCCCAATGCTATTCCGGCCACCTCAAGGCTCGAGCCTGATTTTCGAAGCTTTCGAAAAATTGTTCTGGTTCGGCCTCATTGAAGCGGGGAACAAGCTGTACTGCTTTCTGTAAACTAAAATCATTTACAGAATGCGAAAACTGCCTCCTTTCTCTTTCCCTATCAAATTCTTCCCTTGCGAATGCTCTCTGTTCCCTAGTTTGCTCAAGATTGATTTTTGCCAGCTCAAGTGCCAACGACGCTGATTCACCTTGATTATTATTATTATAAACAAGGGGGAAGCGCTAAACCCGGAAGATTATACAGCGCCTGGGGGGGGGGATGTGGAAGGCATTCAGGCTTAATTCGGGGAACTGGAGCACAGATCCAATTCCCTAAATCAAGAGCCCCTCACCAACATCAAGGAACCTTCCTTGAGGGGTGATTCACCTTGAGACAACCCAGCTGCACTATACTGACCATTTTGCTCCGTAGGTGTATCATCTTCCTCCTTCGAGAACATAGTAGTTTTTGCCCTAGCTCCCGTAGAGGGAGGAGTCTGATGTGCCATCTCTTCTTCTATTAGTTTGTTAGCAATCAGTGAACGCAGTTGCGCAGCTGTGAGAGTGCGTTTGTATTTAATGCCAATGGAACGAGCAATTTTCCAACAACGCTGTAGGGATAATTTAGGTAGGTTATGCAAAGTATATGCCGACACCAGCCGTCTGACTCGTCTAGGTGGCATAAGTTATTCGCTATGCACAGTACGATTGCAGAATACCCCAACGTAACACGTTAATTTACAGAACACGCTTAGCTATGCACAGTACGATTGCAGAATACGCATACAAGCAAAGCCGACTGTAAAATTCTCCACACCGAACAGGCTAGTAACAACTGACACGCAAAATTTGTAAAGCAATGCCAGACAGCTACACTGTTCTAGAAGATTGACCATAGCGAAGCGAGCACACCGAACAAGCTAGTAGCGAGCTGTTGAACGATCACACAATAGCAAGGCTGATCATAACAGTAACTGACACGCAAAATTTGTAAAGCGTAGGCAAAGCTAATGCAATGCCAGAAAAGCAAGCTGCACAATGTTCCTGCTACGAGCTTCACCCTAACTCAACCGTTTCTCTCTAAGTCCACTCCAGCTCTCGGACAGGCTACCCATATTACAATCCAGGATTCCAAATGGCCTGTTATCCCGGGTGTAATGGGAGCAAAATAAACACAGCAGAAAAAGTTTAGACTTATATTATCCTTCACCAATTTAGAACAGCAATATGTACACTATGTACAGTGATAAGTATGAGTGCACTCCACGGTAAAGCAAGGCAGAAATAGAAGCCACAAGATAGCAGACCGTGCTTCAACCAGCTCTAGAATGGGAATGACAAGGGCAGACAGGAGAGTGGTACCCACATAACCTCTGTGATTGCCAAAACCACCATCTTATTGGCTAGAACCTGGTCACTAGTTGAACGACGGGGCCCCATCATCAACTCTTAGCAACCTGGTTCGCTGGTTGGGGGAGATAGCCTGTAAATGAGGGTGTGTACATGCGCCGAATAAAGGCTACATATTCTTTGCATGCCACACTGACCATCCCAGACTAAAGAATATTTCCTACCATCCCTGTGACTCGTCCGTGTTTATAACTTCCACTTGTATCCTCGTGTTCCTGTTTCCCATTCTTGAACACTATTCTTGATATTATTATTTTTTTATTTTTTTTATTATTACACTGGCCGATTCCCACCAAGGCAGGGTGGCCCGAAAAAGAAAAACTTTCACCATCATTCACTCCATCACTGTCTTGCCAGAAGGGTGCTTTACACTACAGTCTTTAAACTGCAACATTAACACCCCTCCTTCAGAGTGCAGGCACTGTACTTCCCATCTCCAGGACTCAAGTCCGGCCTGCCGGTTTCCCTGAACCCCTTCATAAATGTTACTTTGCTCACACTCCAACAGCACGTCAAGTATTAAAAACCATTTGTCTCCATTCACTATCAACACGCTCACGCATGCCTGCTGGAAGTCCAAGCCCCTCGCACACACAAAACCTCTTTAACCCCCTCCCTCCAACCTTTCCTAGGCCTACCCGTACCCCGCCTTCCTTCCACTACAGACTGATACACTCTTGAAGTCATTCTGTTTCGCTCCATCTCTCTACATGTCCGAACCACCTCAACAACCCTTCCTCAGCCTTTGGACAACAGTTTTGGTAATCCCGCACCTCCTCCTAACTTCCAAACTACGAATTCTCTGCATTATATTCACACCACACATTGCCCTCAGACATGACATCTCCACTGCCTCCAGCCTTCTCCTCGCTGCAACATTCATCACCATGCTTCACACCCATATAAGAGCGTTGGTAAAACTATACTCTCATACATTCCCCTCTTTGCCTCCAAGGACAAAGTTCTTTGTCTCCACAGACTCCTAAGTGAACCGTTCACCCTTTTCCCCTCATCAATTCTATGATTCACCTCATCTTTCATAGACCCATCCGCTGACACGTCCACTCCCAAATATCTGAATACATTCACCTCCTCCATACTCTCTCCCTCCAATCTGATATCCAATCTTTCATCACCTAATCATTTTGTTATCCTCATAACCTTACTCTTTCCTGTATTCACTTTTAATTTTCTTCTTTTGCATACCCTACAAAATTCATCCACCAACCTCTGCAACTTCTCTTCAGAATCTCCCAAGAGCACAGTGTCATCAGCAAAGAGCAACTGTGACAACTCCCACTTTATGTTGTGAGTCTTTATCTTTTAACTCCACGCCTCTTGCCAAGACCCTCGCATTTACTTCTCTTACAACCCCATCTATAAATATATTAAACAACCACGGTGACATCACACATCCTTGTCTAAGGCCTACTTTTACTGGGAAATAATTTCCTCTTTCCTACATACTCTAACTTGAGCCTCACTATCCTCGTAAAAACTCTTCACTGCTTTCAGTAACCTACCTCCTACACCATAACACCTGCAACATCTGTCACATTGTCCCCCTATGCACCCTGTCTCATACGCCTTTTCCAAACCATAAATGCCCCAAAGACCTCTTTAGCCTTATCTAAATACTGTTCACTTTTGTGTTTCATTGTAAACACCTGGTCCACCACCCCCTACCTTTCCTAAAGCCTCCTTTTTCGTCTGCTACCTATTCCCGTCTTACTCTTAATTCTTTCAATAATAACTCTACCATACACTTTACCAGGTATACTCAACACACTTATCCCCCTATAATTTTTGCACTCTCTTTTGTCCCCTTTGCCTTTATACAAAGGAACTATGCATGCTCTCTGCCAATCCCTAGGTACCTTACCCTCTTCCATGCATTTATTAAATAATTGCACCATCCACTCCAAAACTATATCCCCACCTGCTTTTAACATTATTATCTTTATCCCATCAATCTCGGCTGCCTTACCCCCTTTCATTTTACCTACTGCCTCACGAACTTTCCCCACACTCACAACTGGCTCTTCCTCACTCCTACAAGATGTTATTCCTCTTTGCACTATACATGAAATCACAGCTTCCCTATCTTCATCAACATTTAACAATTCCTCAAATATTCCCTCCATCTTCCCCAAAACCTCTAACTCTCCATTTAATAACTCTCCTCTTCTATTTTAACCAACCTTTT